CCCCCCATTCCTGGGCTGGCACTGGGGAGGGGAAGACACTGACTTTTAAACTGAACTAGAATTCAGTGACCAAAAGGGAAGAGAAAGCAATGGCCTCTACCCAAAATGTCACTAGAGCAAAGGAAGAAGTTTCGAGCAGTTATTGGGACAAAACAAAATCTTTTCATGTTTGGGTCCTGCCAAATTCAGACTGTTTATTAAACCATTTCCTTTAGATTAGGATCAAAGGGGAAAAAGCGGTGTTAGAAAGAGAGAAGAGAGGGAGAAAAAGCAGAGGAGAAAGGGAAAGGAGAAAGAAAGAGCGAGAAACAGGAGAGAAAACCACACAAGGAACAATGAGAAGGGGCGAGGTAAGGACAGCAGGAGAGAAAGGCCCGCATATGCTCCGGACAGGCCGGAGCCACATCCTACAGCTCCCCGCAGGCTTAGCGTAAGACATCAGCGCCCTTGGAAACTGCAAAACCACATTCGCAGTTTGATATACGCCTTTACTCTTACACCTTCGAAGCTGAGCTCTCCCTCCAAATCAGGTGGTCACAGGGGCCCAATGGGATGGCAATTACCCGACGGCTCTGGAGAAGGTCAGAAAAGCAAAATCACCCTTTGAGCTCAATGAAATCAAACTGAGTCAGACGTGGGGCCTCTACGCCATCACCTTAAGGCTCTATAGATCCCGGGAATGGCCTGCCCTGAGGCAATGACACGGTCTGGGGCTCCGACGGTCCTGCTAAGATGTCTTACTTGGCCAGCAGGCTCATGAGGTAGGTCGAGGTGTTGGTGTCTAGTCTCAGGGGAGGCACTGTGACGTAGGCGGCCGCATGGGACCAGTCCTGATGGTAGTAGTGCAAGCCTGTCAGCGTGGCATGCGCAGTGGTGGTCTCGGCCAGCACAACCTTCCCTGGAAGAAGAAGGGTCGAGCTGTAACCACGAAGCCATGAACCTGAGGGATCATTGGTCTGGGCCTCTCATTTAACGGGTGATGGAGGTGAAGTCAGAGAGGGGAAAGGACCTGCCGCAGCTCCCTCGGGTGTTTGAGAGCACAGCTGGGTGCAAGGCCAGAACGCTCCTGATCCCCACGCTGGCTCCAGGCAAGGGGAACAGAGGGGCAAAGGCGCCGAGTCGGGGCAGCACAGATAGCGCTTCAAGGAGCACATCCTGGCTGGAGCATGGGTGCTACAGGGTGCTGACTAGAGGAAGAGGGGCTGTGAGTGCCACGCTGAGGGGCAGTCCAGGCTGCTTTCTGAGCAGGCAGAGCACCTTGAGGGGAATCGCTGGGGGTGGGACCCGTGGCAGGGGCTTGAGGGCAGAGACAGAGGTAGGATCGTGAGGAGGCAGAACAGTGGGAAGGGCTAGAAGCCCTTGCTCCTGATTTATATCCCCAGGCTTATGACCATGACTTTGTTTCTCCTGTTTCCAGGACCTCACTGGCACCCTGAGCCAGGCTGGCACTATAAGCAAGTACAGAGCCTCCAGGGGTTGCCAGGTGCTTAGCATCAGGAATCATAACAGGTACCCAGGGCTCATACACAGGGTTCTAGGTGGCTATAGGGAAGTTGGGTCCACACGCTGTTATTTTTCTAGGGACATCCCAGGCGTCCCCTGAAATGTCCATTGGAATTGGTCCAGGATTGCATGTTGGTTACCAAGGCAACTACTAGTGAAACCCAAGAGGCAAAAAATATCAATTAATGAGTCAACTGAAAACTTGAAAAGTGTTGCCAGACCCAGCAGAAGTGACAGACACTTCCCTAAAGCTGTTATGCATATAAATGTGCAGAGGAACAATCTGATTTTAATGGACTGAACAGAGGCTAGCACAGGGGGCTTCTGGGGAGACAGGTGGAGAAGAGGAAGGGCAGGTGCAGGGCCACAGAGAGCATGGAGCTGGTGGACCCCATCTGGCTCCAATCCCACCACACGTGCCTGTCCATTCCAGTTCAAGGACTCACCTTGCATCTTAGCAGCTGCGATAACGTCACCGGCTGAGATGCTGGACACATTGACCAGGTAGATCGGACAGTGAGTCTAAACATGGAAACAGGGTGGAAAGGAGAGAGCACCAGCTGCATAACCCTAACAAGCACCAACATCAACCCTGGCCTTCACCCCAGCTTCTGATTCAATGGGTCTGCATGGGCCCAAGAAGCTGCATTTCTGTGTTTCTATTTCTAATAAGCGATGCTGCTGCTGGCCCAGGGACCACACTCAGAAAACCAGCGTCCTAGAGGAGGTAACTTGGATGATCTGAACAGGTCAAACCAATGATGTCAGACAGAGAAATGACCTCCGTGCAGTGCTCTGCTGTTTGTAAAGTGCTTTTCCCTCCAGGACGCCTGTGATTCTCACAACCACCCTGTGAGAAATGAGTGATATTATCATTCTAATTTTAGGTAATAAAATAGCATACCAGAGTGGTTGAGTGGCTTGCATATGATTGAGAGCTTGTATTTGGTAAAGGCCCTGCATCTCTTGCTGGGTCCCACCACCACACACAACAGTATGCCAACCCTGAGAGGGTTTTACCCCGAACCACAGCAAGGGAAAATTATGGATGGCCCAGAGGCAGCGGTTTAAAGGATGGCTCTCTAAGCACAATGTCTACCTATTCCTCCACAGGCAGCCAATTCTAGTTGCAGTGAGGCTCTGTGGTGCCCCTCCTCGCCCTGCCTCCCTGGGGAGACTTTTCCATTTAGCAGTGAGGCCAGGCTCAGAGGGGATGGCAAAGAGGACCCCTGCCAGGTCAGTGGGAATAACAACATTCATTCAGCAAACAGTGTTGGGGTTCTACACCCAGGCATAATGCTGGCACCCAGAACAGAAAGAGACTCCACTGTACAGGTTGGTTGCTGATCCCAGATTCGAGAATGGACTTAGAGTGGGTGGGTGGGGCCTACTTACCCTGTTTGCAATGGTGATAACTCGGTGAGTGGCTTCAGCTTCCAGCTGTTAGAAACAAAGGCAGGAAGAAAACAAGCTTCACCATCTCTCCCAAGCCAGCCCACATCTGCCTGAGAGCCCGCCCCATAGCAAGTGTGCTGGAATGTCTGATACAGAGCCAGAGGGGCCAACTGCACCCACAAGGCTGGCCAGGGGACAAGCCCTGGGCAGGGGCACCAAGCTCCAACCACCTCTGCTCACCCTGAGAGAATCCTTGCTGGGTGCTACTCAGGGCTTAATTAAAAGGCAACGAAACAAAAGCAAATGAAAACCTGGAGTTGCATCTCTCTCTGTTTTCTGGTCTGTTCTCTCCACAGCCACCTCAGCACTGTAGCAAAGGAGCGATACTGATTGATTTCAAGCTGGAAATTAGCGTAGGTCAGGGTTTCTGAGTGTCAGTATTATTGACATTTCAGGTTGGACAATTCTTTGTGGTGGGGAGCTGTCTGGGGATGGTAAGATCTTTAGCAGCATCCCTTGCCTCTACCTACTAGATGCCAGTAGCACTCCATCCCTCAGTTGAGATAATAAAAAATATCTCTAGACATTGCCAAAAGTATCCAGGGAGCAAAATTGCCCCTGGCATAGACCCAGGACCCTCCTCTTTAACTAACAGATGATAATGATGATAATTTTTGCTACTGCTACCACTATAATAAAAGCTTTGCTCTTGCCCGGCCAGTGTGGCTCAGCAGTTGAGCATCGACCTAAGTTCCAGGAGACTATGGTTCGATTCCCGGTCAGAGCATATGCCTGGGTTGCGGGCTTGATCCCCAGTAGGGGGTGTGCAGGAGGCAGCTGATCAATGACTCTCATCATTTATGTTTCTATCTCTCTCCCTCTCCCTGAAATCAATAAAGAAATATTTAAAAAAATAAAAAGAAGAAAAAAAAGCTTTCCTCTTCCCCTACATAACTCAACCAAGTCCAGTCCTGTGCCCACCCCCACCCACTCCAGTTCCCACAGGCACAGCATTTACTTGGCTGAATTTGGTGCATCTTTTTTGACCAATTCTTAGGTGTCAAACAGGAGCTATATTCAAGAACTGTGACAGACAGGGACAGACCAGGGGAGGAGGAAGGGGGACCCCTCCCAAGCTGACCCACTATGGGCCGACTAGGTCTGTCTGATGGAAGTAGTTACACCCTGTCTCCAGCGGCTCATCTCTCGGGGCCTCCCATCAATCCCGCGTGGACATCCAACAACCACTCTGCATTAAGGCTTTGAAGAGGTGGAAAACAGCTTTCCCCTCGCAAATGGCCAGGATGTCTGAACAGGGTCACAGGGCAAGAAGGCATTATCTGCCTAATGTGGTTCCTCTAGAGCAGAATTCTTTCTCAGGGGGACCCTGAGGGATTTGTATCGATGTCCTGCAAAACTATACACGGGTAAAAGCAGAGGGCAGAAGGAGAGCAGGGCTCTTAATTACCATCTCAGCGAGTAATAAGGTCAAAAGGGAAAAAGAGTAGGGAGCTCTTGTTTCTGTGGGAAGGGTCCCAAGTCTCCCTCACATACGAAAAGGGATCTCATCCCCCAAATGCTGAGTCGCTGACTTATCCGAAAATTCTTCTAACGTCGGAAGACACACACCTTTTCCTTCCCTATTCGACTTGGAGTAAAGTGACCCCTGGTGCTCACACTGTCTCCCTCAGACCCTTGAAATCAGAACCCAACGAAGCCAAGTCAGCCTTGGTCTGCAGGAAGCTGTTCCCGAGAAGCCTCCCGGTAGAACCTCACCCATGGAGGAAGTGATACAACACAACTGATATTTACTGGTGTCTCTTCTATCCCAAAGATTCTGCGAATCTCAGGAAAGAGCTGACAAAGGACACGCAGGAGTCTCTCTCACCTCTTCTGGACGGCTGATCTCAATTCCTTCCGGGCCCGTGATACCCAAATCTAGTGCCTCCTTAGCACCCTGAATAATAGCAAAAGAAAGAACACTGAGAGAATCAGAGAGATACCAAAACATACTGAACCCAAGGGACAGTAAAATATGCTAGACTCAGTCCATTCTAACAGGCTTGCTCCTCTCCTCACTTCTGTAATGTTCATCTTCTAAAGGGGGCAGAATAGAACAGGGCTCCCTTTCAGGGAGGCTCTCCTGAGTCTCACTTCACAATAATTGAAAATATCTTTTCCTCTTAAAAATACAGTTCCATAGCTAGAGAGCAGGCCTGGGACACCAACGACAAACGCTACTGATCTGCAAGTCAGAATTTCCTTGCTGGAAATCTCATTAAAATATTCCTTAGAGCTGCTCCAAATTCCTTTGCTATAATGGAATTTAAATATGGCATTAGAATTAAGACGTCACCGAAGACTTAGAAACCCTCTGGACTACGAAGAGAGATTTGTTTTTTACAGACAGTAGAAAAGTTTGAATCTTCCGACAAGGATTTGTCGTCTGGGGTGTTAACATCTCACACTTTCTTTTACAATTTGTTTTGTCTGAACATCGTGGGGTAGAAATGGGTGGTCAGGGATCAACATGAGAACCGTCCCTAGTGGCCCCCGGCCCCCCTTCCCGCAGCATTCTCTGCGGCCTTGCCTCGGCCACGAGCTCTCCATTCTCGGCGTGGACTCGGGCGATTGCCCCGATGTCTTTGCAGGCGTGCAGCACTTGGTACAGCTCACTGTCCCGAAGCATATACAAGTCCTTGTAGGTCATGAACATCTGGAATGAGTTGACACCCTTCTCTCTTACCAGCGTCTCCATCTCCGCTTTCACCTGGAGAGCAAAAGGCAAAGGCAGTGCCACGTGAGGACAGCTGCTCAGGAGGCTGCCCGGCCTGCAGATGGGGCTCAGTGCGCAGCGCGTTTCCTCCCACCGCCCGGCTGCGGGGAGGTCCCATGAGGACCTGGATGAAGATGGACTTTGAAAACTGCCAAGCGTGACACAAATAGAGGAATTATATTATTTCCTTCTAGGCATGCTTCTCCTACTGCATGGGCCTGCCCTGCGCTTCCGACTCCTAATCAGCCTTGCTGGTAAACGCACTAACAGCTTTTATTCCTATGGCCTAGTCCCCCGGCTCCATAATGGAAGTGGTGTTATAAAGAAGGCACAGCAGTGCTAGAAGCTCAGAGACCCTGGGGAAAGTCGAATTTAGGAACAAAATGACGTAAGGAGATTCATTCCAACATTATTTATATTAGGAGAACATGGAGGCAGCACTGGTCTGACAAAAGGGAAGTAAATTGAGTTCCATCTATTGGCAGATGTTAGTGGCCATTGCATTGATGCTCATGAAGACCATGCAGCCAAACAGAAAAAGCTCACACTTGAGCCAAAAGAGTTATTATGTAAAAAACATGTATGAAAAAAAGACAGGAAGGAAATGAGTTAAATAACAAATAGCGATTGTGTTGGGATGACCAGATTATGGGCTTCCTTTCTTTTCTAATTTTAAAATCTGTAGCTGGAAACCAAATTTGATCATTAGAAAAACGAATTTAAAATTCTCAATGCATGAAAGTCCCCACAACCTCTGAGGATGGCTGGCCTGGCCGCAGTGTTGTTGAGGATCTGACTGGGCCCTCTATTCCAGCCCAGCACTGGGAGAGGCAATGGAGAAAGCTTTTGGCACTTAGGGGCGTTAGGATGGCAGTGGGAGGGGTGTCCTACACCTGTGCGAGAGCTCCACACCCCAGCTGGCTCCCACCAGATGGCCCCTCTGCCTAAAAAAGCATTTGCTCTCTTTCAGGACTCCATCGTTACCTTGGGTGCCCACCAGGTGATCCCCACATGGAGGGCGTAGTCACAGCAGACCTTGGGGTCAGCCAGACCCCGGCACTTCTCGTAGGCATCCACGAGGGAGGTGTCCTTGTCAGGCAGGACATGGCCGATGACCATGGTGGTTCCTCCAACTAGTGCTGCCTGAGGAAGACGGGAAAAGCAGTCTTGTCACTCTCTTCCCGCACCCAAGTCTCTGACACGGGGAGGCACGGGGTCCTCAGGTGGACATTCAGGACACCTACAGACCCCATCTCCCAAGAGGCTGTGAGGCCCAGATGTGGCGACATCTGGGAAGCCATGAGCTGTCTGACGGCGCAGGGGCCAGTGTGCAGCAATCGTTACCGTGGACCCANATTCAGGACACCTACAGACCCCATCTCCCAAGAGGCTGTGAGGCCCAGATGTGGCGACATCTGGGAAGCCGTGAGCTGTCTGACGGCGCAGGGGCCAGTGTGCAGCAATTGTTACCGTGGACCCGGCACACACACCTGCATCTTCCTCATCTTGGGTTGTGGCCGGTGCTTTGGAAAGAGCGCTCAGTGTGTTACCCCAGCCTCAGGCCAGCCCCTATTTCCCAATGAGAAGATCTCCTCACACAATTTTTGGCCAATCTGAATATACAGATGGCACAATCAAATATCTACAGATGATATGATATATGATATAATACAAATGGTGATCAAATGTCTATCATGTGCATGAATTTAGTTGCACATATATATTTAAACCCTCATAAAGAAAATGTTAATTTGGATATATTGCTCTGTTTTATTCTCTCACATTTCATGAAACAATTCTATTCAAAGTTTTCATACGCATCTTCAACATCAGGGTCTTTGTTTTCAGTTTCCCAAGCCCATTATCATCATCTCCCTCTGCCTGTTTGAGAAAGAGCGCTTCTTAGGTCCCTATATAATCTGTCAGTGCAAAATTGTCCTATTTGTAATCTCCACATCCCACTTAAAAAAGAAATCCTAAAATGCCACACTTGCGATCAGGAAGCATACTTCCAGGAATAATTACTAAATCTGTATTAAAGACTTCCCCACTCACCCCACGACNGTCCCTATATAATCTGTCAGTGCAAAATTGTCCTATTTGTAATCTCCACAACATCCCACTTAAAAAAGAAATCCTAAAATGCCACACTTGCGATCAGGAGGCATACTTCCAGGAATAATTACTAAATCTGTATTAAAGGCTTCCCCACTCACCCCACGATNCTGTATTAAAGACTTCCCCACTCACCCCACGACACACCTTTTTTAAAACCAAGTTTGGTCAGGTGAGTTCCACAAGCTTCCAAAACCAGTGTTGACCAAAGGCTGTTCCCAAACAAATCTTTATTACAATTAAAAGAATTGAGACAGAACCTCATAATATGAGACTTTGTGAGGGCTCTGAAGATATAAGGTTACTCTCTCTTTTTCTGGTGAGTAGAAAGTCCNTGAGGGCTCTGAAGATATAAGGTTACTCTCTTTTTTTCTGGTGAGTAGGAAGTCCTTTTATTTAAGCCCTTACAGTGATTTAGAGTCAGACCCAAGTTCCAGTCTCCACTCTGCCACCTCCCAGCTGGACAACCTCAGCCAGGTTACTTAACCTCTCTGAGATGCAGGTTCTTTACCTACACAATGGGTACAGCTTCCTTCCTGGATAGTTGTGGAAGTCAAGTGAAACATCACTTATAAAATGGACTTTGTAAAGTCTCATCCTAATGTGTGTGTGTAAACATTCAGAACTTCGCTATTTGTCTCCGTCTTCCACAGGGGGAAAAACCAGTGCAATGAAATAGTCTTAATGATTTCATGCTTCTCCACTCAGTTAAATCCTTGATAAAAAATCAGAAATATTGCTGGGGAATAGGACCAAAAAGAAAATTAGTTCAGTGGCCAGACAATTAAAATGAAAATTCTTGCAGCGATGATTTTCCAGGCCGACTCTGGTGGGCCCTGCTGTCGCGGGAAGCGCAGGGGTCTGACTTCTCGCATAGCTTAAAGCGCCCGACAGAGGGCGCAGTTCTGCGGGGCCGCGGGGGACCGGCGGCGGGGGCGGCGGGGAAGCGGAGAGCAGGAGAGCAGCAGATTGTAGCCTTACTAGCTGGCTTCTATTTCTGATTTGGCTGGCTTGTGCCAGGCTGATTCATCCTCCTAGCAGGTGGTTGTACTCTACGTATTGTGTCCTGAAATGCATTTCTTGCTTTTACACATGGACATGGGGGCGTCTGATGTCCTGGGATTTTACACACTAAGTTGTTCCATTTTTCTGCAGTTCCAGATTGCTTTCCTTTGCACACACGGCCCCACCCCAGTATGATGGCGGCCTTGGAAAGAAAAAAAGGGAACCTGGAAACAGGAGTGTGATAAGACTGTTCTTAAAATCTGTGGAGCAAGAGTAGAAAAGGAGGCCCACGTACCAAATCTCTAAATAGTTGTTACAGATCTAGCTAACCAACTTACGCAGAATACAGACTATCTTCCTACTAGGACGAGTATATTGTCATAACGAGCAAGAAGGCCAGGCCTGAATTTAGGATTCTCAGAGACCTTGCAGCTCTGAGCTACACCGTAGGGGACGCTGGCCTTAAGCCTCTGCGCCTGCCCGCAGCCCACACCCCCTGGCCCATGCATGACTCATCCTGCAGCCCACAGGTCTAAGCTCTGCTCAGCCCCTGCAAACCCTGCCCTTGGACCTAGGTGTGCACATGCTGGTGGTCTGGCCCCCAGGAGGACACATTCAGGCTTGTGCAGGCCCTGGAAGAGCTCAGGCCTTCCTGGGAATTCCAGGGACCCAGAGTGTGGTCTAGATGTGGAACAGTGGGCTCTAGGCAGACATGGTCCCTCTTGCATGGTCTAAGGATGGTCACTGAGAGGGTTCTAGAAGGAGTTGGGAGCATCAGATGGTGGGCCTGACTTTCCCACTTGCTTCTGTAATCCAGGGGCAACTGTGTGGCTGCTCTGCACCTCACCTCTCCTCTCAGGGGCCCGGGGATCAGATGGAATGGATGGGAGAGCATCTACAAGCTGGGGGGGGAGCACATAAATATCTGGAATAATTATTTCCACTGTTACTCAGGCCTCAAAATAAGAGCTTAATGGAATCAGCAAATACTCCTCCAGCTGCAGGTCTGAGCACTTGTTTTTTCTCAGACAAGAGACATGCAGAGCTGGCTTTTAAAATATGTACAGCTCCTACCCCTGGGATGAATGCCGACAGCTCAGTCTTCTCGGGAATGTGATATCACAGATGTGACGGACCCTTTTACTGTCACCCCCTACAGAACAGCTGTGTAGAAATCAACAGCCGAGCATGACCCAATCCTGTTCCTCAGGTTTTCAAAAGGGTTATGTTTACGAGTATGTGACTGCTGACTGTTCACAACTGTTTTTATGCAAAAATGGTGTTGGCTAAGCAAGCTGTGGAGATCTTTGATGGAAGTCAACAGAAATGGNGAAATCAACAGCCGAGCATGACCCAATCCTGTTCCTCAGGTTTTCAAAAGGGTTATGTTTACGAGTATGTGACTGCTGACTGTTCACAACTGTTTTTATGCAAAAACGGTGTTGGCTAAGTAAGCTGTGGAGATTTTTGATGGAAGTCAACAGAAATGATGCTCATGGAGGCTAAGTCATACATGGAAAAGGGTGATGTCATAATGCTCGAAAAAGGCAGAATTCAATACGTGTATCCAAGAGGCTGAGAACTATTTTTAAAGACATCCCCCCCATCAGAAAAAACAAATGTAAGGAAATCTACCAAAACATTAACAATGACCGTTTTGGGGTGATTAGATTCTGAGTAATTTATTTTTTCTATTTTTTTGAAATTTATTTAATAGAATATATTACTTTTATATATTTTAAAGTAAATTTGGAGGAAGCTAAAACTATTTAAAATTTAGTTGACCATGCTCACGTGTTTAAAATACTTTTCTTTTAAAGTTATGAAATGCTTCAACTATACAGTAAAAGGATAGGAAGTGGTACACCACATACCCAGGAACCCACTAGTCAAATATAGGTTAACATTTTTGCTGTATTTACCTTACATGCTTTTTAATAAAAAAAAGAAATATAATATTTCCCATATAACTGAAGCTCTCCATCCTATTCCCATGCCTCTCCCCTGAGGTTAATAAAAGTTCCCCCATTCATGTTTTCATGCTTTTACTATATTTGTTTTACAAATTTTAAAAATGTATACAAATGATATCGTATTGTCCATATCCTTTCGTAACTTGCTTTTTTAAATTCAACCTCATTAAAATTTATTTATGTAGATTTATTTCATTCATTTTAATTCATTGTATGAACACGTCTCCAGGTATGTATTCATTTCTGAGTTCGTGACATTTACTGCTACACACAGTGCTGGAACTTCTCAAGGACGCACCGGCGGTCCCTGAATTCAGGGTATTTTGCCAGGAAGTGGAACTGCAGCTTCATGGCATGTGCGCATCTCTGATTCTCCCAGACATGGTCATGGGACAGCTAGCTAACTCACCGGGGCCTCCTGGAGCCTGGTGGCTGCAGAGCTGCCCATTCGCCAACCCAAGGCTTTACTGCTTATTTACATAAACTGCGGTCCAGCCGAGCATCCTCATTGTGTCTGTGGCGTTCATTTTTATTGTGAATGTGGGACTTCACATTTCTCACTTAGTTCATACGGACATTAGGACCAGTTGTTTAACTAACAGACACAGCACCATTATACACATGTGGCAGGAAAGGAAACATAAGTTTAGTATTTCAAAGGGTTCCCATTATTTTGGTTTTGACATTTATGATGTACTGCTGGGTAAATCTGGATTTATTTGACGCCCAGTAATGTATTTTTTTTTTCTCCCTAAGAAAACTTAATGTAACTTAATGGTAAACTCATTTTATGACACAGTTTCCAGGCACACACCTGGCAGGAACTTGTACTGAATGCAGCCTGAACCTGTTACACATGCCATCTTTATGCTCTGGGAGTTAGCAGACCACTGTGGGGTACATGGGGTCTCCAATTGACCAGGGACCTGCTCAGCAAGTTGGACAGAAATTTCAGATATGATTTATTTGCTGACATCATGGTGTTGGAGAAAACAATGTACTGGCCCTTCCTGGCTTTGTAGAGACAAAGACCTTTGACGAGTCACTCTC